AGAATCTGTGGCAAACATCTTTCCAGTACTTAAAAAATCCCCAAATACTAATTTTGGTGGCTGTAATCATCTGATGGTTGATGTCTTTACCTGATGGAGAAAGTGTCATGGCTTTTGAAAGTATTTCTAAGGATATGGAATTTTACAGGTTGCTAGTACTAAGGATAAAGGACTGGGGAGAGGAGGCAGTAGGTATCTGTAAATAACTGTATCAACTGTTAAACTGTACTAATTAATTTTAAACTGGGATAGAGGTTGCAGAGAGATCTGTGGGTAGGTATACCTCTGCCAGTTTGAAATCCCACAGAAATCAACTGGGTTTATAACTTTTATGTATACTTAAACTCTTGTTACATTAGGTATCTGTAAATAACTGTATCAACTGTTAAACTGTACTAATTAATTTTAAACTGGGATAGAGGTTGCAGAGAGATCTGTGGGTAGGTATACCTCTGCCAGTTTGAAATCCCACAGAAATCAACTGGGTTTATAACTTAAACTCGTTACATTAATAGTTCAAAGGTAGTGGTGTATTACAAGCATATAGAAAGATTGTTGTTGTTATTGTTAATGCTTAAAGCAGCAGCATGTTCTGATGTGTGCTTTCAGAGAGCATTGAATCTGGGATTGGTTTTTGCATGAGCCCAGTAGCAGGCTTTTTATTGCAATTGCGTACCTTTTTATTTAGGGTTGGTGTAGTTTTACTAAAACTTGAGCATGTTCAGGTAAGAGGAGAGCCCTTACGGAACACCTTGTAAATACTGGTGGTTCGATCTCCCTTCTCTGTTACACAGCCTCGCTCACGTTGCAAAAGCAGTCCATACAGCTTCAGTTAAGCCTGTACTTTACCAAGTTCTTAGATTTGTCACCACACCAGGTGGAGTGAGGTTCTGGCTGTAGGCAGAATTTTGGGCAAGTAGCTGGATGTAAACTTGGTCTTTCAAGGAGCTGGGTTTGGATTTGCTTTGGCTTGCAGAAAAGTCTTAGAGGCAGATGGTACAATGAAGGAAGCTAGAGGTTTTTGCAGCGCCTCCTTCTCTGTTGTAGCTCCCTGCATGGCCTTCTGCTCTGTATTTGGACTAACTACCTTGCAGTAAATCAATAATGAAAGTACAGAATAACAGGACCTTTTAAATGTACACTCCAGCTTGCTTAGTGATACACTTCCTTGGCTTTTTACAAATCTCAGATAATAGTTTATCACAACCTCACCCCGTCTTTCTCCCGCACCCTTCTTTCTTCTCTTTTTTCCTCTCTTTTTTTTTTTTCCTGATTCTTGACGAGTGTGAATGAACTTGAGGGGTGGGAGGTATAAATCTGCCTTTGACCTGTTCCAGCAGGGAAATTGTGATCTCCTTGCTTTCTGAAGGCTTTGTTCCCTCTTTGCCCTGATCATGAGTTGCTGGGACAGGGAACGTGCATGCTCAAATCCAAGGTTATTGTTCTTCTCTCTTGGTCTCCGCATGGGTGTAATGCAGACACATCAATATTTTCAAGTGGCTCAGACATTAAAGGCTCAGTGACAAACACAAAACCGTGCAAATATACAATGAACTGTTTTAAATGTCTAGTTAGTAAGTTACAAGTTTATTTCCTCTGGAGTTCATTCAGTCACATTGAAGCTCTGGAATTGGAGAGGCTTGTAACAGTGAAGCCCACTTGCCTGCTCTGGATCAGGCAAGGACTTGGTATAGGAAGGATAGAGACTGGTTGGAGCGAGTCCAGAGGAGGCCACGAAGATGCTCAGAGGGCTGGAGCCCCTCTGCTATGGGGACAGGCTGAGAGAGTTGGGCTTGTTCAGCCTGGAGAAGAGAAGGCTCTGGGGAGACCTTGTGGCAGCCTTCCAGTACCTGAAGGGGCTACAAGGGAGCTGGGGGGGACTTTTTACAAGGGCCTGTAGTGACAGGACAAGGGGTAATGGTTTTAAACTGAAAGCAGCTTGATTCAGATTGGACATAGGGAAGAAGTTTGTCACGGAGGGGGTGGGGAGGCACTGGAACAGATTACCCAGAGAAGCTGTGGATGCCTCATCCCTGGAAGTGTTCAAGGCCAGGTTGGATGGAGCTTTGAGCAACCTGATCTAGTGCCCATGGAAGGGGGTTGGACCAGGTTACTTTTTAAAGGTCCCTTCCAACCCCAACCACTCTGTGGTTCTGTGGTCTGCCTGGCAGTAACAGATGGTTTGTACTTCATATGAGGGTAGTTTTTGTATTGCCGATCTTGCAGTAATAATGCACTTCTTGCTGTATGAGAGGGCATGGAAAGCCAAACCAGTTTTGAACATCATGGACACTGGCAGACATACCATAGCATACCTTGTATTATGCTTATTGCACTTAGTATACTTAATTGTGGATTCAGTAACAATTTCTATAGATACCTGTAATCAATTGTTATCCATTATCATTCTTCAAGTCCTGCTTTCCTATTAGTCTGATGTCACGTGAGGTTGTCAGTTCTGCAGTGACTGTACACAACATTGAAAGGGTTTTTGTTTTAACTTGAACATATAAATTAGTCATTCTTTTCCAGTGTGACTGTCAAATAAACACATTTTTACAACTGAACTGTTTTCTTTGTAATGTGGCTAAAAAAATCAGATCTGATTCACCAGGCAGAAGTATTCTATGATCCACAACCAGAATAGACCAGCTGTTCATCTAGCAGACCGGTTTGTTTCAGCGGATGTCTGTGCCAAATGCTGCAGAGGAGGATGAAAACTCAGACACAAACATTGGTTGTTTGACTATAAGTAAAATCATAGAATCATACAATGGTTTGGGTTGGAAGGGACCTTAAAGACCATCTAGTTCCACCCCCCCTGCCATGGGCAGGGACACCTTCCACTAGACCAGGTTGCTCAAAGCCTCATCCAGCCTGGCCTTGAACTCTTCCAGGGATGGGGCATCCACAGCTTCTCTGGGCAACCTGTTCCAGTACCTCCCCACCCTCTCCAGGAAGAATTTCTTCCTGATATCCAATCTCAATCTACCCACTTTCAATTTAAACCCATTCCCCCTTGTCCTGTCACTACAGGCCCTTGTAAAAAATATTTAACAATATTCATTAAAGTATTTTAAGCTCTCTTTTTATTGGAGTGAAATCATTAAATAACTAGCTGTAGGTCATAGGTCATGTTGGACCATGTGTCTGTACACTTTATTAATGTAAGGAATAAACACTGGTTCTATCACAATCTGAAGTTAAAAGTAATTTTTAGATAAAGAAAAAAAAATCCCCACAGGCAATATGTTGTGAAGTCTGTATATCTTGGTTTAGGTCTGATGCATTTGAATCTTTCATTGGCTATGAAGAAAAATCCTGGGTATTTCTACCCAGTTAAGTGTGAATCGAAAATGAGTAATGGGAAGGGGCTGTTCACATGAGCTGCTTGTTATGGCGTCTCACTCGATCTTCACTATTCGGTGTAATAAACCAGTGAAAGCTTTTCTGTCTTATTCTTGCCTTTGTCTAAGGACATGGTATACCGACCTCAATAAACTTTAGTTTGCTGTACAAGTTTTTATCCCTAAAAGCATTAGCTTTCATCCTTGTTTTTGAATAGTTGCTTATTAATTGTTTTATTAATTAGGGAAGGTATCAACACTACAGATTGCCCAACCTGATGTATGTCTTCTGTCGTCTTGCGTTAGCGTATTTGTCCACAGATCTGGGGTACTGGCTGAGTAACACCTGAAAATCTTCACAATGTTGAGGCTTCTGTAAATGCCTTCAGAGTTTCTCAAGGCATATAGTATACATCTGTGAGGATCCTAAGAGACATGGGAAAATGAAAATAATATTGGGGCCAAACTATCTTGAGTGTTTACTAACTTCAGAATCCAAGTAGGAAATGCCTTAAAGTTTTAAGAACCTGACCTTCTCATTAATTTCACTTGCAACAATTAATCGTTCTATCTTAACTACATGGTTCCAGCTGGGAACTCAGTGATTGTCTCTCAAATTTCAATTTAATTCCTTTAATTAATTTTATAAGAAGAGGTAGCTTTGCTGAATACACTTTTCAAAACATCCTGGGAGATTTGTTGGTGCTTAGTGCCCTGCCTTTCAGCATGGTTTATTGACTTCAGCTTAACATTTTGCTGAGCAGCGGGTAGTTTCTGGTTTGGAGCTGGTTGATGTCTGGGTGGCTTCGAGCACAGGCAGGGCGGGTTTCTTTCTACTTATAAAATTGCACGTAGGTCTACCCCTAAATGCTTTGCTGTGCTTGATAAAACCCTTTTTGTCTCCTACAGTTTCATGCCTTGTTTTATATTTGCAGACGTTCCCCTTCTGGGTGAAGTCGATAACTATGTGTTTTGTATTTAAATTACAGGGATCTATGCTAGAGTCCAAGATAAATCCTGTTGAATTTTGTTACTTTTCAGTAAGCCTCATCTAGTGTAGATTTACAAATCCTGTTCATTCCTGTTGCTCAAAAGTGAGATAGTTCCAGATGAACAATCAGCAAGGGAATAAGCTATAAATACATATAATGTGTTCATAATGCAGTGTATTGGCATGTCCACTTTGCTTAAGATCTGATGCGTTAATCATATGGAAATTTCAAAGATGGCAAATTACAGCACTCAACCAGTTGCTGGGAACATGGGTAAATTTGTTAGAGCCTATTTTGTATTTGTTTCTCAATAGCGTGTGTATATGAACATTCAGTACGGAGTTTCCACAAGCTTCTCGGTGCTTTTCAAAGTTGAATCATCACATGCAATTGTCCAGAATGCTAAATAGCGCCTTTAATTTTCTAGTCTGAAATGTTCTCTATGGCTGTTAGAGAAAGTGTTTAGGTGATGGGGGGGGTAAAGGTTGGTTCTTCCAAAACAGTAACTCTAGAGCATCTTCTAAATGTGGTGCCACAGTTCTTCAGCATGGAAGAAGGTGACTGAAAAGAGTGAGGAGTGGAATGGGCAGGGGGAAACACAGCTTACCTTGTTCATGTTATTTGTAGCCTGTCTGATTGTTACCCTGTTACCTTTCCACAGATTGTTAAACTGACTATTTATAGAATGCTTCCAAAAAACCTTCAGAGAAGAACTATGATGCAGAGGCTGCACCTCTTCCCGGAAGATGTGAGTAGTCGTGCATTGACTTTTTCATTCCTCTGTGATTTGGAGGTGTAGAGGGAGCGTTAGCAATAGCAAAATTCTTGTCATAAGAAGGTAAATTGACAGAAATCAAGCTGCTTTTTATTTATGTATCTAAATGTAGTTGAAATGTTGATGCCTTTTTCTTTATTATTTCACAAAATTGTGAGATAGGAGATATGTGAGATTGTCCTCTGTATTTAGATCAAACACGTAGCATGAAGAATGCAGTACTGTTGGCAAATTTTGGTCTGGATTTGGGTGGGGGGATGTGTTGGTGGTGTTTTAAACAATCAGATAGCTAAGAATATTCTGACCTGCCTCAGGTTATTCCAGAAGATATAGAGAAAAATCTTCTACAGGAGATTCCTCAGCCACGTGAAGTCCCCAAGAGGTTAGATGAATATACACCAGAAGAAATTGCTGCCTTTCCAAAGGTTTGGACTCCGTAAGTATCTGAGATTTTTTTTTTTTTAAATGATACTTGGACTGAATATGTACTGTATAGGCTCTCACATTATCAGTTTAAAAACAAGAGAAATTGATTTTTCTCTTTATGTTATCTTTTTTTGGAGAGAGGAAGTCATTAAAGCAAAGAACAGTCAGAAGGGAGTGATTGCCAAGTATTTTGTATTTCTGGCCTTCCTTTTAATGAGAAAAGCTTACTTTAAAATCATTTTTTCAACTCTTCGTCAAAATGAGCTGAGTAAAAAACTTACCTTTTGAGTTGTATGTCCTCTGTAATACGTCACTGTTCTCCCCAGCCAAAGGAAACACCGTGCAGCTCTGAGGGAATGATTCATTGCTGGGGCGGGTACCCTTCAGATTTTCTCCAGAGGAAGGGGAAGAATTCTGCTAAATTAGACCTTGGAGAGTGGATCTTTGGCAGGGAACACGCCACATATTTGTTTTGATAAATAGTTTATTTTCCATGTGCAAAATCAGTTCCACTGTAGTTGTGTGGCATATGAATGAGTATTTGTGGTTTACCACCACATGCAGTGTCGAGTCAGCCTGGTAGTGAAAAGAATGCGTCACATTTGGGACATTTTCTGAGTAGTACCAGTATGATTTATCTTGTGCTTATTTTGAGTCCTATTGAGGCTCAGGATGCCATTAGGGTGGTCAACAGAGAAATTAACTTTGAAGGGTGGCCCCTTCCCTGACTATTCTAATGAAATTCAAGAAGAAATATAACAAGTAGGGAGGTGGGGGAAGGGTGTAAATTAACACCAGGGCCGACTTGATTGTCCATCTCCAGTTAGATTACTGGTATTTCTATAGTAATTTTTGGATGGTTATGCTTCTGTTTGCCCTGTAAAAGAACGTGATCCTGCGTGTTTATTCATACGCCTCTCCTAGCAAATAGAGGGGGTGTGAGTCTCAAATGGTGTGTCATGCTATTGAGTGGTTCCACTGAACCAGCTGTTAGCTGCATGTGGACAGAGCTCAGGTGTTGAAATGCTGCAGGTGTTGAAACACTTTCAAAAGCTTATTAAAAGCATCAGTTGTCCTTAGGCTCCTGATCCTGGATGATACTAAGAGAAGTCTGTCAGTTCTCTGTAATCTGAGGCACCTCAGTGTTAGTCTCTGCTGAAAGGGAGTAAAGTCCAGTAATGCTTTAAGCCCACTTCAGGGTGGAAATAGGTAGGGTGATACTGACTTTTTCTAATCTGTATCAGTTACACGCGTTGCTGTGTTTGTTTTTATCCTCACTACTGGAGGGAGATGAAAAGACTGAGATCTCCTGGTTCCTGTGAGATTCCATTGGATTCCCCATGAAGAAATTTAGACTCTGCACCAAGGGCCAGATTCTACAGTGCATTAAAACTAAACCCTCATGCTTTATGGTATATTCTGCTCTCAGGCTTTAGTACCGGATCTACTAAAGATTTTCACATGCAAATTTAGCACTGAATTGGAATCTGGCACTTAACTTCAACTGATTGGGGGTGTCCCTTGTGTTCCTTTTTGTCAAAGGAAACAGTGTCATGCTGCCAGAGCTCTTGAAATGTGTTTCTTTGTCCCCACGCACTGCCGTGGTCTTGGTTGAGTTGATCTCCTCAGCACTGGGCCACCTGAACTGTGTTGACATGTAGGGGTGTGTGACAGGGGACAAGTAAACTTGATGCTGTCTAATTTCATCGTAGCTGTCAAGCTAAGTTTCCTAATAGCTTCGTGTTAACACTGAGAAAGCTACTTGAGCATGTTGATCCTTGGGGAAAATCTGCAGGTAAGAGCGCTGTTTGGAAGCTGTAATTCCCCTTCTGTCATTTCTGGGAACCATTCCCTCTGGGGAATTCAAAGCACAGAGAAAATACGCATTCCATTTTGAATACTTCTCCCTTCTGCAGTCTCGTCCTGATCAGTTTTGGGTAAGTGCTCTGTGTACGCAGTCTTTTCACTCCGTGGCAGGTAGAGTGGCTGGGGAGTGCTGCTGCCTCGGAAGCTCTGCAGCAGCCGATTTGGAGGCTTTCTACAGAGGATCATAGCGCTGCTTCTGTGGGATGGGTGGGTGACTCAGGTGGGTGTTCTGGTGAGAAGAACCAGTGCAGTAGGCAGACCTGGGAGGAATGGAGTAGAGGGTCTGAAACGGGTGTGAAAAAAGGCTAGAGAGGAGCAGAGTTAGTGGGCTCTGGGTGGGGTACGGAGGAACAAAGGGGAGTTTGGGAGAGTTTTAATGCCACGAGTAAAGAGTCTGGGCCAGAAGTTTCCCTTCAGTCAGCTACCTTTGCTAGAGCCACTTCTAAAGGCAGGAGGACATACCTAACACTGTTACCACACCCTTGCTGTGTTCCTACCTTCTCTTCTGCTCTCAGGAACTGAGAAGAATGAAAGTGGTTATCTACCATCTCTCCACTAGCCACAGGGATCATCGCCGTAGTCACTGTTTAATCTCAGCTTCTTGTCCTGGCCTGCAGCCAGACCATTGTGGATGTCAGATAGTCGTGTCAAATAGCTGAGTTTAAATTTTACCTTCAGCTTGCTTCTCTGGCAGTTTTGATGTTGGGCAGAGTTTCCAATTTGTAGTAATGGGAAAAATAGTAACGCTTTTCTTCCTGACTGAGGGAATAAATGTACTGCAATGACTATCTAGCACTGAGAGTTCTGTGGGGGAAGGGCTTAGTTGTGAAATACAAGATAAAGAATTGAGCAGATTTGGTAAAATCACTTCCTGATGTGTTAAGTAAAACACAAAAGTCTGTAAAAGGGGACTGTGTGAGTTGTAGTGGTCACTGTTGTGAACAAAGTGCCAGGTGGAGTGTCTGAGAACAGGGAGCTTTGCACCAAAAGCACAAAAAGAAAGGCCGTGTGAATATCCATCTCTAATAGTCTCTGTGTTCGGATCCTTTGCATTGTGTGTGAGCCCATGGAAGAAGCAGTGTTTGCATTCTTCTTTTCAAAGACTGTAGAAGCAACATAGGTTGAGATATTTACATATTCTGTAATGATGCCACCTTTTTAGAGGTGTATAGCAAAAAGGTTCTTTAAAAAATGAGTCAAAAAGGGGAAAAAAATCCGGTAGACGGCTTTGTTCAACAAACCAAAGACAGGCAGTTTAAAATAAGATTGTATAAATCTGATACTCTTTATAGTTTGTGTTGTACCAGAAAACCAACTACCTGATGTGAAAATTGTTTCAGAGGAGTTTTAAATCATGGAATCCTAGAATCATTTGGGTTGGAAGGGATCTTAAAGATCATCTAGTTCCAACTCCCCTGCCATGGGCAGGGACACCTTCCACTAGACCAGGTTGCGCAAAGCCTCGTCCAGCCTTGCCTTGAAGACATCCAGGGAATGGGGCCTCCACAGCTTCTCTGGGCAACTTGTTCCAGTGCCTCACCACCCTCTCTGGGAATAACTTCTTCCTGATACCGAATCTAAACCTCCCCACTTTCAATTTAAACCCATTACCCCTTGTCCTGTCTCTACAGGCCCGTGGAAAAAGTCCCCCCCAGCTTCCTTGTAGCCCCTTCAGGTACTGGAAGGCTGCAATAAGGACTCCCCAGAGCCTTCTCTTCTCCAGGCTGAACAAGCCCAACTCTCTCAGCCTGTCCCCATAGCAGAGGTGCTCCAGGCCTCTGAGCATCTTCATGGCCTCCTCTGGACTCACTCCAACTGGTCTATATCCTTCTGATGCTGTGGGTTCCACAGCTGGACACAGCACTGCAGGTGGGGTCGTGGAATCCCCAGCCTTGGAGATGCTCAGAACTTGAGTTCCTGAGCAGCCTGCTGTGATGCTGCAGTCAGTGCCACCATCCGTAGTGGAGTGGTGTGGATATCTTTTTGGGGTCCTTTCTGACGCAAATTATTTCATGGTTCTGTATTTATGATGACAGTAAACATACATAGATAGTAAAACAGATGGATATTTTAATAAACTGTCTAAGAGCAACAATGTATAGGTTGCTAAAATTGTTCGCCCTCTTTGGCTTTTCCTTGGGCTGTCGTTCATACTAGGGTCTTAGCAGTCTCGGTGAGAGCACACAGTGCTAAAATGAGTAGCTTTTTCTTTTCCTCTGTGTCCTGTATTTAGGATATAAAAGGCCTATATGTTTAGTGTTGTGTACTTTGGCCTTTGAGTTTCTGTGGAACATATAGAGAGCTCCAAGCAGCAAAAGTAGTCTCTACAATAAACCAGAAAATGAAGGACACAGAAAAACTAAACTTGAATTTTTTTTTTTTCTTCAGATGGTTTTAATAAGTCTTCCTGCCTTACATGACTTCGGTTTTTAATTATTACTTATCTTCTGTGAAGTTCTGAGCCTGGTAACCACTCTGTTTAACAAAGAAGTTCAAAAGGGAATAAATTCCTTTGAGATTGGTTAAAAAAAGAGATACTCCTTGTGGAACATCTTATGTCTATGGAAAAAATATAGTAATTAGTTGATATAAGCTCTTTAAAGGTAGCTGTATTCTTTAAGGGAAAAGATGAGATGAAAAGCATAGCTTGTGTAAAGGTATGCAAGGCTATAAAATATGGGTAAACACAATTACAGCAAGAAAATGAAACTTTTAAGGTTTTAATGTAAAACTTCACACCAGACAAATGTACCTTACTCTATAAATAACCACGAGAGATAACAGGGAATGAATATATACCTCTGCTATGATGAAAGGCTGAGAGAATTGGGCTTGTTCAGCCTGGAGAAGAGAAGGCTCCGAGGAGACCTTATTGCAGCCTTCCAGTACCTGAAGGGGCTACAAGGAAGCTGGGAGGGACTTTTTACAAGGGCCTGGAGTGATAGGACAAGGGGTAACGGGTTTAAATTGAAAAGGGAGAGGGTTAGATTAGATATCAGGAAGAAGTCCTTCCCGGAGAGGGTGGTGAAGCACTGGCACAGGTTGCCCAGAGAAGCTGTGGATGCCCCATCCCTGGAAGTGTTCAAGGCCAGGCTGGATGAGGCTTTGAGCAACCGGGTCTAGTGGAAGGTGTCCCTGCCCATGGCAG